ATTAGAAAAAAACAAACGAAATTAAACCCAAACCCCAGCAATCAAATAAACGTAACCAAAAAATTTTTTTTAAAAGATGAAATTTTGGGGGCAAAGAACATGGCTCAAAATAATTTAAAACCCCACTTGGGAAAAAAAGGTTAATTTACATACAACCCCCTTAGTTTGGGGGAGTTAAAAAAATTTTTCCTACAAAAAGCCTAATTAAAAATTTAATTTATGAAAAAAATTTTAAATAAAACTTATATAACAACCATATAAAATGGAAAAAAAACTTGAAGAAAAACCCACCCCACTTCTAAAATATCTATTAAGAAAATTCATTTTTGGAAAATGGGGAAATAAAAGTGGCCCCTGGTCCTGAAAAAAAAAGAAAAATAAAATTCAAAAAAAATCCTTGGTAAATATCTTTAATGCCATTTTGGGCCTCAGGATTTTTTCCATTTGTTTTTGCTCTGAATGACTTTCTTGCTAAGCCCAATAAAGACAACCCCCAAACCCGGGGAACTAAAACCCCTATATCTTTATTTGAAGTCACTGAAAGTTCTTGAGAAAATCATTTCCAACAGATTGAATTTCTATATGGGGTTTAATCACTTGTTTATGAAAAAAAATTTGGCTTTTAAAAAAATAATACCAATCTGCAATAAATGTTATTTTTGACACTGTAAAGGGAAGTCAAAAAAAGCAGGGAATCTTGCCCTTAATTGCCACCAAGGGTGTTCATAAAATTTTGAAAGCTTTTGGCATGATGGCCTTTTTTCAACTCATTGACCTACCAGACCAAAAAAAATTGGGGGGGGACTTTTTCCAGGTTTTATTTTTAATTTTTTAACTCAAAAAAAAATCATTTCCCACCTTTCATGGCAAAGTCCAGAACCTTTTTTACCACGGCTGGGGTCCCACAAGGTTTTTGTTCGTCCACTTCTGTTTTTAAAAATTTATTTGGGGAAGACCTTCCCCCAACCAGAGTTTAAGACACAATTGTGAACATTTTTCAGATGATGTTATTCATTCGTCTCATCACTCCAGACAGGGAAAATACAAGTATGGAAGTCATAGAAAAAAAGAATATTGAACTTCGTCGAAAATTTTAATTGGGGGGAAAAATGGGAATTACGACAAAACCTGACAAGGGCCTTGTTAGCACAATAGGATGTTTTGCATCAACCCATTGAAGTAAAGGGGGATCTCCATCAAGGTACACCTTAGCCATTTGAAACCCCAACAAAATCTTGGGGGAAAGAAATAACAGGCTGCCCACTCAACATTTCCCGTAACAAAAAGATCAACACAGCCCAAAACCGGGCTTTAAAACAACCTTTTTGATTTTAATCAAACCCCTCAACATTTTAAAAAAAATCTTAAAAAATGAAAATAAACCTATACTTTAAAACCCCCCGTGTCCCAAAAATCTTTAAAAAAAAAAGACCAAAATGCTACGGTTCAAAAAGGCCAAATAGAGCTCTTCGATTTATTACCCAATACCCGGGGGGAGAGACAGAGTTAAAATGCAGATTTACATACCAACAAATATCACTGCCATAAAAATACGCCTTGACACCCTAAAAAAGAAAAAACTTTTTACAATGCAAGAACAACAGCCAGAAGAAACATCCTATACAATGATAAATACCACCCATACACCATTTAATACTCCCCCCACAGGACTCAAAGAATACTCTCCCACGAGGGTTCGTCGTTTTATTCATAAAAAGATTACCCCCCCCATATTTTGAGCAAATTACCTGACGAAAAGTTGGGGTACTACCAGAACCCCCTTTATGTATACTGAAAAAAACCATCGCCCCCAATTAGGGAGACATCTTAAAAACTTTTTAATGTAAAAACTTTGCTATTGCTATTGTTTACACCACCCTTAAAAGCTATTTCACGGGTCATAAACTGGCCGAAAATATTTCCTTTCCTGTCGTAAATATCCGTTGGCAATCGCGAAAAAAAAAAAAAAAAAAAAAAAAAAAAAAAAAAAAAAAAAGCAAATTTCAACTTGTTAATTCAACCAATTCAAGTCTGTACTTTTAACAATTATTTTATGTGACCGAGGGTTAGTTTATACCTCTTAAAAAATAATCTTCTCATTCAAATACACTTTTTAAATTCCCAAAAGTGGTTGGGCCACTTCCTTTTAAATCCTACCTCTCACCCCCCCCTCCAACCCTCTTTCCAAATTTTTTCCACCTTACCCCTCCTTCTTCCTTTTCCCCCTCTTACCCAAAACTTTGGGCATTTGAAGAAGAACTACAAAAAAAAACCTCCCGGGGATCACTGACGTATTTACGAAACCAACACCCAGATCAATACCCGCCTGGAAGATATAATTTTTTTTACACCCTGACCCAAAAACCCACCAGAAAGTCGACCTTTGTACGAGAAATTACACGACAAAACAGTCAGGGATCAAACGTAAAGGAACCCATTTCTCCTTTTTACAGCACTCAAATGCCCCTTTGGGCCAGTTTTAAAACCGACCCCATTTCGACCCAAGATTTCAAGCTATCACTTTCCTTCCAAAAACTGCACAACATAAGGAATGCCTCCAATACTGAAGAAATGGTAACTCCTGACTCACACTTTAAAAAACACCGACCAATCAAAAACCCGCCTCCCTTGACCACGCCCCCACTTCTGCCGCCCCCCAAAACATCAAGATGCACAATCTTTTCCCTCCAGCAGTTGCAGTCAGCACCTGCAATTCCGCGTCTTCTATTTTGGTCTCCTTGTTTATCCAGGCTTACATTGGTTCTGTCCGACTCTTTTTCTCTTCGACTCAAGACTTCCTCTCACCCCTATTTTTCGCACTGTCCCCCCTTGCCCCCCCCTCGGGGTCCTTTCCTGGATCCCGATTGATCTGATCCTGATTAGGACAAGAACCCTCGTGGCGAAACTTTCCTTTAATAAATGTCCGAACTGATATAATTCTTTTTTTCCACACTTTTCGGGAACACCATACCATTTCCCCTTATAAAGTATTGCATTACTGTACAATATCTTCCCAAAGTCATACTTTTCTTATCCTCAATATCTTTATCACAAACAGCAAATCGAGCAACATTTTGAGATATAACTTTTACTTGGGGCAGTGTATTCGTCTCATCCAGAGAACAAATTTAAAAACCTGGGTAGGGTAAGGCATATTGAAGTACATCTAGCCTGCTACCCCTGTGCACCCAGCGTAAATACTGATGGAGGTGCCCAGGTGCCCCGTATACACACCTCTTTCGGGATTCGACGTTTTCGTTAACTTTAATTTTCAACGTCTTAAAAAATATTGTACATTCAGGTGACAGTTTTTGAAAGAAATTTGTCACGCAACATCTCTATCGACGTAATATCTTTCTAAATTTTTTTGAAGCTCATGTTTGAATGCAATCAAGTGAAGGATACATATAAAATTTTGTAAACTCAAATGAATGAAACTCGTTGAAAAAATGATTCTTTAGGACGTGGCAGGTACTGTGTTATAACCCAAAAATACAAGAGGGCCCGTATAACATCACCCTCTTTCGGTGTTCCAAGTTTCCGTTAGCTTTCAGTTGAGCCATTATGGTCCACCAGCCGAAAGATGTTACGTCCATAGAGATGTTACGTGAAACAAAATTCGTTCAAGAACTGTCCCTGAATGTTCAATTTTGTTTAACACTTTTGATAGTTAATTATTTCAAATACCCAGTGTGACACATCTTAAAAGGTCACAGCTTAAAAACCTACCACATTGTAGTGCAGAAAAACTACTGAGTACATTTTCTCCCAAGAAACCATGTCAGGATTGGCTTGCTTTCTGTATACGGGTAATGACAGAAAAACGCCTCTGGTAGGAATTAAGAGACTGCGGACTTTATTGCCACTTTAGTTGCGGCAAGAAGCCAGAGCAGTAAATTGTCAAATGTTAGAACTTCCATATAGTTTGTAAGGATTTGATCACCGAGTGGCTGGTGTTAGATCTCAATTTTGAGTGTCATTCGAATCACAAGATTTCATGGTAGAAAACTTCCCTTGGTTGATGGTATCTTCAGCTCTAGGATTAGCATCCTTGGTAATTGTTATCTCATAGCTCTTTGAATGAGCTTCTCCCTTGGTAGGTGGTATCTCTCACTCTGGGATCTAATTATTTTGAATACATTATACAATATCGTTTGGTGTACAGTAAATGCTGTGCAATACTCCTAAGACTGTAATACTTTTTGTAAGACAGGCAACCAGGCCTGCTATACTGATTGTGAAGATCCTCGAACTGTTTTCTAGTCCTGTTATTTTTCGAAGCCTACCATTCCCAGCCACCCCCGTACACCTACCATCTCTCCCTCTCCCCGGAAGGCTCGTTTGTAACATACGAAAGATTGATTTTTAATTTGATTTGTGATATCGATTTCTGTAATACAATAGTAAGTTTTGTCATGGTACAGTAAATCTGGTAATAATAGTGTGTTTTAAAAATTTCAGCACCTATATTATAAACACTGAATAATTAAATGGTTCTGATCGTTTTAAAACATGAAAATAAATCCAAATCCTGCCTATCTGTGGTAGTCCTACTTTGTCTCTCCCTGACATTTTTAAGCGAGTCTGATATGCCGAACCACCTGTGGATTCGTCCTCGTTGTCCATGTGCTCACCCTCCACTCGTTTCCATTGTCATGCAGTACTGAGCACTTGAAACATCATCATCAATTCTCCCAGAGAGTAATGGACATATGAAACAATGTTAATGTGTAGCTAATTTACAATTACAAAAAAAATCTATAAATTAACGTTAAAACATACCAAGTGTTATTACAGTTGTGCTAAACTACATTTTTTCCCCAGGTGAGCTGGAACGGTTTTTGTACTTCTATGGCCCCATAACATTTTTGTTTATCTGTAATACTGGTTTTATTGGACATACATATTGGAACTTTAAAAAAATTTGATGACAATTCAGCCGTTCTGAGGAAATTAAACAACGATAAAACCTCTCGGCGAGGCTAAAAACTGCATTTAAGACCTTCCTTAGAACACAAACAGCGTAGAAGAAATTATATTTCTGAGTAAGGCGTTACCTTTTCTTTCTGTTTTGTAATATGTTATAATGCTAAGCCAATACGGTAGAGCTATTTTGTTACACAGTTTTTATTGTAAAAACTCCAGAAATGCATTGCACAAAGAATATGTAGTCTTAAATGTTAATGTTACAGAATTACTTAGCAGGATGAACCTTTATTAGAGATCGTTTTGAGTGAATTTTATCAAATCACGTAAATGAAATGTCTTTTAGTGAAAGCTCACCTTGCTAAGTGTTGTTTTCATGTTCATTTGTCACTTGTTTGCATGTCATTCTACAGTACTTTTTTACAGTTCAATTAATTTGTGAACTTTTTATCGGCAGTTTCAAGCAGCAGTTCTCTCTCTTGGTGCTTATGTCAACATGTTGGTTTACCGAGATTCTTTCCTGGAAAATTCCTCCACCTCAGATGTGGTTAGTATTGTGATTAATGTTAATGGGTTAATTATTTAAAAGGCATTTTTAATCTGATCTTTAAATTAATATATGAACTAGTGCTAAATTCAGAAAAAAGGCTTTATCCCGAGCTGCAAGCATTGTTAACACTTAACGGTTCTAAGTGTCGTTTAATAGTTCACAATGAACTAATCTCTTCATCATTTCATAATGTAATGTTTCCTACTTAGTTTGAAATGCTCATGTGATTGTTACGTCATGACCCATGCATGACTAATTTCCCATTAAACCATACTACCGGTACAGTAGACCAAGAAAAAAGGTTAGTCATTGAAGTAAAATAAAAACCATTATTATTATTATTAATCGCTTTAAACTACGCTCCTCTTGAGGTTCAGGAACTCGTGGAGGGGTATCAGTGTACTCCACAAGATCCTCCCAATGTATTTTTTTTAACCCTCATCTGTACTAATTTTAAATTTTATAAATATTAAAAAAAAATCTTCACACACCCTGAGGGGGAGTGTGATGGCTTGTTCCATGCTCATTTATTCCAGACTTCGACCAAGTTGTTCATCTCGATCAAATAGTTGAATAAATAATGAAAATACCAAAGTTTAGTGACAATTTTTCGTGTTTACTGTAACACCCATGTTTTTAAAATACACAAATAACCCGCACTTAGGAGACTGAAACTTACGACAGTGTTTCAGTCCGACTTGGACCAGGATATGTATGGGGGGGGGGGGGGGACGGGAGGGGTAGAATTGGGAGTAATAATAATTACTTCTCCCTCCAATTTTAAAATTTTAACATAGCTAGTAAACTTGGAATTGTTGGATTGTGTGTGATAACTAGAGAATGCATCTTCTGGCTGGCTTCAACCTTTGAACACTGGTGTTTCTCGGTGGAAGCTAAGCATTGATTTTGAGCTAAGTTTCAATTTGCCAAAGTCATTAAAAAATAGTTTCCACGTAGTAACTGGAGAATCTCTCTTCTGATCGGCTTCAAACCTTAGATACTAGTGTATCTTGGCGAAAGCTTTGGCTTAATTTTAGGTTGTGTAGGTACGATAATGTCAGTTTTATTTGATTAGCTTCATCTTCCATGTTGATATTTAACTGCAATAGAAACTTGTGTTCAGTACTACTTGGGGGTTGGGATATCTTGGATCGCTGAGTCACCGAAACTCATTTAGTTTGTTTTGCTCTTTCAGTAAGGCAAATTGGCCTCACTAATACCCATTTTATATTTTTAAGGGGTTTGATGGATCTTGACCTCTGTTAACATTGTGATAGCATACAAAACTGTCTGAAAGGAGAGAGCATGGGATTGAAGGTAGGCGATAATAGCGCCGGGGAAGTGTGCCTGAGTCATAGAAACAGGGCCAGGGCAGGCCTAGAGTTTGGCCCAGTAGTGTAGTCTGAATAGTAATATTATGTGTACATTTGCAATTATTATATGTGGCCCAGATGATGTGCGTGGTAGTCTTACTTGATATAGTAAGCCTGTATTTTTTTAAATTTTTCTTAGTTTTTATATTTTTTCAGTAGAAATGCGTTGGATGATATTGAGTTTAGGTCATTTTGGGATTTTGAAAATTTACAATTTAAAATGCTCAATATTAAATAATTTTTGCAATGTATGTACGTATCTATTTTGTACATATAAAAATGAAAGGCGTTTTGTACATATTATTACTTGTTATTACTTAAATGTGAAAAAATTCATGAATTTCAAGACCACTCAGATGAACCAGAAATATCTGTATTTTATCAACATTGATATTTACCAACAATTCTGGAAAAATACCATAACTTGCCTACTGCATTTGTGACACTGTGTATTGTATTGAAAGAATAGTAGAACCATTTTAGACGTATGTTGAAATATGTGAACAATATAAACTTTCATCTTTGTAATATACTGCTTTGTGAGGCACTTCCAGTAATTGTATTAGGCGTGTTTGGTTTAGATCAAAATCTGAAGTAAAAATATAATCTTCATGGGATAGTTAGAAACTTAGGGTGAGCGTGTATTCTACGTGTATCACTTTTTACTACAAATTGTGTGTAGTGGCCATTGTCATTTTTTTTAATATTAAAGTAATGTCTTTTCTTAAATATTTCTGAAGGATTCACAATGTTTTTATGTTAACAGGACTGTCACCGATATCATGAACACACTTCAAGGTTTCTTCATATTTGTCATCTTTTTGGCAAATGCAAGTAAGCGCAAACAACTCAAGAAGAAGTATCCAGGATTGTTTGTGGCAGCAAACCATCTCAAAGTGGCATTTCAAAAACTCAAATCATATGTGCTGTGCAGACATGGTGGTGGTGTAGTTTTGTCTCATGTCCGCGCTATAACTTCCCAAGTCGGAAGAAAAATATCGGATTCATCGACTGTATCAAATATTTCTACTTTGACTTCCTCAGTGAATATAAGTTCTGACTCTTCATCCCGCGTGGTCTCATCTGATGACCCTAACAGAAAACTATCTTCACTTATCGAATCAGAGGAGGACATTGTTACTCTCTCTCATTCAGCTTTATGCTTTACACTCAGCAGTGAGAGTGATACATCTCTGTGATGTGCAGAATATTTCAGAGGGGCATTGCAAACAGGTATGATCAAAATCTAATTTGTTAATTTAAATTTTGCGCCTTTTTTTCAGCTTGAATATTGGAGTTCCAAAATTTTATGCTTCATACATTAGTTATGGCATGGCAGTGGTTCATGAGCTGAACACGAATATTTTTATTGTTTACTGCGGTTCAACAAGTGAATATTCAGACTGGAAATCGGAATAATAAATTTTAGGATGAAATCTATATAACTAGCAATAAATCACACAATTGCTAAATAATACAAGCCGCACATGCTGGTATGACTGGATATAAGCATACCATGAAGCATGATGCCGTCTTATCTGAATAGTGTTTGCTTTGTGTTGAACTCGAATGTACTGCACATTTTCCCTTAGATCACAATGTTTACACACAGGTTTATACTTTCCCAACATTTTGCTTCGTCTATTAATCAATGCACTTAATTAATATAATACATTTATTTGTTTTAGAACAGGTCATGTAGACATCCGGTTAAATTGAAATTTATTAGATTTACTATTACTCTGAGAAAGTTATAAAATTTATAACTCTTTGAAGACGGAGGGGAAGGGAGGGTGTTGATGCTGGTCATAAAATGTTAATCCAAGGAATAAGATCCACCATTTCCTTGGATCAAACCTGATTACTTCCCATTCCTTATGTGCTGCATGACCGTGCTGGCTTAGTGCTTCCATTGAATAAAATATGATAATTTGCTAAATAATTATTTAAGACTACCAATACATAATTTAATATTCACAGTTTTGTTTGTAGAGACTTTCGTTTTTCTTGTTGGGTCACTGCCGGTTTGTTGAAAGAAGAATTTTGTTTGTAATCCATGTGCCTCCATGTTTTCCATGAGCCCCAGCCAGATTTTGACTTATTGGTACCACCCAAGGTGGCAAATTCTAGTTTGTTTAGAAATATTCTTTATCTGTCGATGACAGTTTGATATGATAACTATTTGAGAGTGGCAGCTTTGTCATAGTTATGATCTGTTGAATTCACCAACCTAGCACGAAGATACCCGAACCCTATTCCTCCTCCCTTCCACCTTAGATTAATAGAACTCTTGATGATCCTGTGACCCTTTCGGAAACAATGTATTCCTCTGCCTTCCCTGTTACTCCTCCTAAACTTGATCCCATTCATCAGGGTTTTATATTTGTCTAGGGATGTATTGATCTTCCCATGTGGAGCCTGTATAGAGAGGTAAACTTGTCTTTGCATGATCGTCTCCACTATTTTGTCAGTTTCCATGACCTTCACGATCCTACCACATACAGAACTTGCCTGTGCTAATAATACTTTATTTGATCGTTGCCGCCATTTATTGCATCGTTTTAATCTTCATACAGGTTCAGCATTTAACTGACTTTGATTCAGGTTTACTCCTTTCCATCCTTCCTGCCCGAAGGTTCACTTGCCTCCTATAAACTTTAGCTCACTCTTTAACACTTTTATTTACTTTCTCAAGCTATAGCGCTATACGCTCGTGCTTCTAAATCTCCAGTTGGTGCAGGATATGCAGCTGTTTTTCTGTATATAATTAAAGGACATTTACTGGAATAGACTCATTTTAGCAGTGGAGTTATATGCGAATCAGCTATTCATGAACCGCTGTATTACCTTGTCAGGTTTAGCGCTTAATTTGATTATTATTATTATTATTCACAAACTATCAATTTCCTGCAGGAGTATTTCTCTTGGACTGTTTTTCCAGTGTTCTCTTTTAATCTATGAAACCGGTTACTGATAACTTTAGTCTAAGTACTGAGGTTGTTTTCTGTCAACCCATAGTTGAATTTCTGGCCATCTTCCCACCATTGTTTGGTTTGGGAAACTACTCCTAAGACACACAAATCAGATGTACGACTCGCATATGGGTACCATATGGAAAGGCATAAGCCACTTTTTGCAAGGACTTCTAGGTCGCACTCTCAGTTCGTCATATCTTAATTGTCTGACCTACATATCATACAGTTCAAAATTCACTTGCAACATCTACAAAATCCTAACGTGCTCACTCGAATTTACCCCTTTGCTGAAAGTAATACTATCTTTGACCATTTTAATGAAAACTAACTTATTGCTCCAATGATTTCAGTCTTGCAAATACACTCACTCCCACCCTTTGCACACCCTGACTTGCGCATCCCACTCTTTGTATACCCTCTGTGAAGATCCCACTCTTTGTATACCCTCTTTCAGCATCCCACCCCTCGCACACCTTACACTTCCCAACCCTGCCCACGATGCCATGTGACCCCTACAGGTTTAGTACTTAATTTGTAGTAGTAATTATTTCAGCAAATGTAAGGTATGCTGTAATGAGGCAGAGTTGCTCTTTCGAGAAGATTATTACGTATCAGTAACTTCTATGGACCCTGTAAATAAATTAATGCCTAAAAGCTTTTACCGCCTCAGGTTGTACCAGTATCTTCTGCCCCATCGATTACTGTCAGCTACTAGCCCAGTGGATGTTATTAACAGTATTTGGTGTTAGTTTAAAGACACAATATTCAGTATTTGATGTAGAAGAAGCCTCTTGTATGGTTTCCTTAACACTACACTCTTTACTCTTAAAAGTTACTAGTTTTCAACTTGCAGTTGGCCAGACAAATTTGATTTTAGTATTATATCTTTTCTAGGGGGATAGAAGCTTTTAGAGCATCATACACGTTTGTTAGTAGCTCTTGCTTTGTCTCATAAGGTTGCAAGGAGCATTGAATGTCTGTCCTCTTATCTCTAGTGTGTTGCTGTTAGTTTAAATCTTTGTTCCATTGATTAACAGTTGTGTGTGTATGTGTGTGTGTGTGTGTGTACAGTTTATAAATAAATCTTGACTTTGCTGGCAAGGATAACTTTGATAGGCATGATATAATAAACATCATAATATAAAATGTAGATTTAGCCTACCTTTTGATCCACGAAACTAGACATATCCTCCCATTGGCTCGAAACTAATTGCCAATCATTTCTTCAATTATAGCTTCCATCCATAGGTTTTAGTAAT